GGGCTTCAGAGGCAGTGTGGGCAGTAAGTCATGTCTGCCCTTGGTAAAGATCCACTTCTGTGTCCCTCATTTCTTTCTGGGGACTCACAGGTAAAAAGCTGTATTTTCATCTCCTGGCTCCTTCATTATGCATCTGTTGGGCAAAGAAGGTTTGAGTGTGCAACAGAGACCCTTTCTTGGGAGCAGGAAGGGCATTAGCACACTTCCCCATTCCCCACTGAAGCATTACCTTTGCTGTGGAGCTCTTCACGGGAGACACAGACCTTTAGTGAGTGCAAACACAGAGTGAACCTTGGATGATTTGATTTCCCCAGCAACATATTGCCAGCATGGTTTTTAGTGAGTCCTATGAGGAGATGTGGCTGCAGAGATCAGCATCACCAAGAAGTTCAGATCCTCCACACCCCACCTGCTTGAGAATTGTTTCCTTCTGCCTCTGGCTTCCTGTCTTTGTGGTTGGGTCAGGCCATATTGACTCATGTCTTGTGTTTCCTGAACACCCTTGTCCATCCACATATGATGCTTGAGGAAACCTGTCCCTTATACCACTCATAGCCTGCCACCTTGGTGTAACCTGGTGTCACTGAATTCAGGAGATGAACTGTTCTCTCACTTCTAATAATTGAGGTCCTGTATTAGATTTTGGTGATTTGGTGTAATCTTCAATCCAACAACAACATAAAAGATATCATAAAAGGAAAACAGATATATCTTCATTAATGGGTATCAGCTGACACATCCTAGTGAGGATGAGGTCAAAGCTTAAAGGGGGCAAAAGTGTCATTGCTAATGACCCAGTGACTGCTGTTCTTAACAATGAGGAATGCCGTTACCCATCAGTTGGTCCTCTGAGTTTCAAGAAGTTTCAAGTGCACAGTATAGTGGGTATCTCTGTGATGGCAAGGTGGAGTATCTTCATTAGATCCTAATTCAATTCTTTACAGAATAAGGCCCTGGACATATTTTCGTTATGTTAAGTTGGATGGCTAACACCTTTTTTACTTCGTTTTATTATGAAGGCATGTATTGGTAAAACTGGAGAATATGACGTAGGTAAATAAATATACTTTCTGAGCATGGAGATAGTTCATTGGATTTCTTGCACAAGAAAGACAAAGTGCACAAAGAAGAAATGGTAGTTTGGATTTTTGATTTCTAGAAGAAATAATTTAGTAGAAATTCAGGAGCTATCAGTACTCTTTTGCACAGCTATAAAAGCCAGAGTGTGTTACCATCATGGACCAGTGAATATGAGAGCCCCAGCACCAGTGGATCTCCAGTAGGCTACTACTGCAGTGACCTGGGAGTGTTCCAAACTGCCAATGGCTGGCTCCTGCCCAGAACAATTTTGATTAAATTACTCTTGGGAAGGGTCTTGACATCACAAGTTTTTCATGCTCCTCAGTTTATCAGGAGCTGAGACCCTCCTCATTAAATTGTCCACATTCCATGCATTGTTGTCAATTTCTGTTAAGCACAGAAGTCACCGAAATTTAAAAACAAAATTCCATCAATGGCATCTAAATAACAAGCAAATGGATCCTGTAGTGGGAACACTGAAGTGTGAGCAATGGGGTCTTAAAAATTGCAAATTCCTCCTATGTGTTTTAGATCATTCTCATTCCAAACCAACAGACTCACATGGATGAGTGTAGGCCATTAGGATCCAAAGCACAAAAGGAGATCACTGTAGGAAGCGCCCTGCACTGTGAAGAAGGAAACTCAACACAGGACAGATTTCATTCTATGCACTTTTTATAAATTCATCCTGTTGCTGGTGTAATTCAATGGATAATTCCTATCTGGATCACATTCACAGATTACTGGTGGTCTAGAAAAAAATTCACTTCTCTATGACATGGAGTCATAAACATTATGAGTGTAATATTTCCATTCTATACACTCTTTTTTTACAAGGGCCACAAGAAAAAATAATCCAGATAACTAAACACCAACTAAATTTGAATGAGGCGGAAACAATCTATGTATTCTGGACACATCATGCCAGTATATCCTTTAGAGAATGGCATGCAAACCAGAATTTTCTCTTCAGCTATCACTGTATGGGGTTAATGCCCAACAGTTTTCAAAACATACATCCTATGTATTGTGCCCATATTTACCATGTACTGATTATTTGAATGGCAGTGTGTTAGTAATAACATCCTAATTGCGTTACTAAGCCTTTAACCAGTGTGACCAAAATACATGACAAGAATAACTTTAATGGAGGAAAGATTTATTTTGGCTCATGACACCAGAGGGTCAGTCCATGTTGAGCAGATGCCATACTTTGAAATTTTGGGACCCATGATAAGGCAGAGCACCATGGCAGAAGGGCATTATAAAGATTATGAAGATGCCTTACTCTGCTTCATTAATTGCAGCCAGGAATCATGAGATAGAAGGGGCCTCAGGGAGAGGCACCTTCCAGGCCAACCCCCAATTACCCACCTCCTCTAGCCATGCTCCAGCCTGCAGTTACCACTCAGTCATTTCAAACTAGGATGGAATCCTAAAAATCCAATTATTTTACCTCTACACCGTTCTCCCTAAACACATGTGCTTTAGGGAGACCCCTTACCTTTTTATATTCAATCCGTAACCATGCTGTAAATGGAGACACAATAACCATGTAGGCTGATAGGAGAGTTAAGGCCTTTTTCATTCAACTCTGTTACATTACAGTGAAAATCAAATTGCTTTCAAATATTTAAGCATATATATGAATCAGAATTACCAGATTTGGTATGAAGTGGTGCATATAATCAGAATAGTCTTTAAAATAATGACAATGTCCACCTAGCATTGATTGGCTATTTGTCCTTGAACTATCTCCAACCATTTCTTATCTACAATTGTATTATAATTTTTGAATGAATATTTCCGTTCACCTGACTTCTTAAGAACACTGTTTTATTGGGCCCAAGGACACATACCTGCAATGCCACACACTGAGAAGCCCAAGGCAAGGTGATCACAAATGTGAGGTCAGCCTGGGCAGGTAAGTGAGACCCTATATCAAAATTAAAGTAAGGAAAGGTTAAGGTTTAGCTCAGTGGTAAAGCACTCCTGGATAACACGCTAAGCACCAGAGAAAACAATAACCAAATGATAAAATTTTCAACAGTTTTTATTATGGAAAACACATTTATTGTTAAAAGTTTACTACATATGTGTGTATGCATATATATATTTTAATATATTATAAAATTTTATGTATATATTATAAAATTATATATATATATATATATATATATATATATATATATTAAAAAAATACAAAATTACCAGGCAAGTATCTACATGCCCAAATCTCAAGTTCAGGAAGAGAAAGTTGGCATCTTCATGACTCTTGTATGTCTTTTCTTGATCTCATCTCCCTTCCTCCAAGATGGAGAATCATCATCCTGATTTTTAAAGTAGTCTCATCAATGTTTTTCATTGTACTTTATCCATCTACATATACATTTCTAAACTGCAAACTTGAGTTATACATGCCTTTGCATTTTATACAAATATAACCCCAGTGTACATGTGTTATATTTCTATTCTTTGGCTCCATGCTCCAGACTAGCTGGGGATAGTTAGTCTATAGCTATCCCCAGATACCCCACTTCCTATTACCTGGTGTTCATAGTTACTGTGCCTTGAACATGCATAGTGACTCTCATGCTTATAATTAATGATGGCCTTCCAGACTGACCGAATTGGGAGATGCTGTTGACCTTGAAAAGGTGAGGTTTCCTGGGAAGCCATTAGGCCATTGGAAGCCATCCATCCAAGGAAACTAGGGACCTCAGCCCTTTCTGGCTATTTCTTTCTATGTGGTGATGAGGACAGTTTGCTCTATGACAAGCTTCTTGCCTTTGCCACTAAGCATCCTCAGCAAACACCTTGGTCATGACTAGAACCTCCAGGATGGTGAAAAATATAAACATGTTTTCTGTAAGGGCATTGCCTCAGCTGTTCAAATCGATCAATATGAATGGAATAATAAAGTAGGTCATGTAATAGCTTGGCCTTTGACAACTTCCTTTTACCTGATAGCACATGGCAACCTTCAGTACTTAAGGTACAAAGACTCAAACTTTCTGTAGGTGACCGATATTCTTTCACAGTCTCTCTTTCTGTCACTAGCTTAGATGAGTCCCTCTGCAGTGTGACGATGGTGCATTAGGGAAAGAGCTGAGAACAACCTCCATTCAACTGCCAAAGAGCCCCAAGGTCCATGACTCAGAGCCAAGGGTGAAGGCCATTAACGATGAGAGTTGCCAACGGGGTATTCTTCCCTGTGCCTCGGGTCCACTGATATAGTGATATAGTCAGTTACATATTAAGGGAAACTACAAAAAAAAATTGGTAAGAAATAACAATACATTGAGAAGATTTCTCAGTTCCATAGTAAGATTCAGATTGACTCTGACAATATGGAGACCATCCATAGAGTTTGAAAAGCTGTTGAAGGATGCCAACGCTGAGAATGGGGAGTAGAGGCATCCTAGATTCTGTTCCCTTAGAAATATCCTAAATAGAAAGTGCTTAGGACTTAGGGAAATGATCACAGGGAGCACTGTAGGGAATTTGGAAAGTGATTCAGGGCAGAACAGAAGGCAGGAGACAGTGAGCAGCACAGCACTGGGTCATAGGAGGTCCAGTCCCACAGAGGACCTAGGGAGGACTGGAAGGACGCACCAGGTGACACTGAGCTGGAGCATCTGTGCACCAACTCCCAGTTACTGGGTGAACTCTGCTCCTGGACCCTTAAACCCTCCTGCCCAGAGGTTGCTCTTCATCCAGAGAAAGTCCTCAGACAGGGAGGTCCAGGGGCTTGCTTTCCAAACCCGTTTTCTGGCACTACCATGACAAATGCTCACAGAGCAGAGGAGGAGCATCTCAGGTGGAATGTTATGGTTTTTAAATCTTGATAGATGTTCTACCGAAAAAAATGCAGAGTGAAACAGGAACTCAAAAGGGAAAAAGAAAGAGACAAGAGGCCATTATGGGTGTTGCCAGTAAAATTCATTTTTATTGAAGATGCAGGTTTATGTCCACATGAAACAGCAAGTCAGAGAGCAATAATATCCAAAGGGATGTAATGTGAGAGTAGAGGGAGGCTACAGAAAATTCAAACTTGTTGACATTGGTCAGAGACAGAGCAAGCCTGTAGGGAGGGGAGTGTCCTATTGTTGCATCCTGTGGGGGCTGAGAGATGGAGGCCCTGGAGGACACTGGTTGAAGAACAGAGATGAGGTCAGGTCTCAGCAGAGGAACCACTACAACAGACTGGGAGCATCAGGTGGACTGGAGACAAACGGGGGGCAGCAGCTGGAAGCCCAGCAGGTGAGGGGCAGCTCTGGGATGTGCAGCAGAGGGTCTGGCAGCTTCTGGGGCTGCAGCAGGAGGCCTGCAGGAGCTGGACATTAGCTCCAGGATGGCTAGGAGCAAGGGGGGCAGCAGCTCAGACTGTCAGCACATAGGGCGCATCAACAGGAGCCACAGTAGTTGGGGGGGCAGCAGGTGGTCCTACAGCAGATGGGGCGGCAGCAGCAAGGGCTGCAGCAAGTGGAGCCACAGCAGCTGGGGCGGCAGCAGGTGGTCCTAATGTAGATGGGGCAGCAGCAGCAGGAGCCACAGCTACTGGAGCTCCCACCACAGCAGGGGCTGCAGCAGCTGGACCCAC